CAAGATGGTGGAATTCCCCAGCTCACAAAACCTTCCTCCTCACTCTCCAAGATGGTGGAATGCCCCAGCTCATGGGGACCATCTCTCGTCAAAATGGTGGAATCTTCACGGCTCATGGAACTCTCTTCACAATGGTGGAATGTCCACAGCTCATGGAGACCATGCTCTCTCTTCAAAATGGTGGGATCCCCACAGCTCATGGAACCTTCCCCTCTCTTCACGATGGTGGAATGTCCACAGCTCATGGAGCTGGTTCTCTCTCTTCAAGATGGTAGAATTCCCCAGCTCATAAAAACCTCCTCCTCGCTCTCCAAGATGGTGGAATGCTCCAGCTCATGGGGACCATCTCTCGTCAAAATGGTGGAATCTTCACGGCTCATGGAACTCTCTTCACAATGGTGGTATTTCCACAGCTCATGGAGACCATCCTCTCTCTTTAAGATGGTGGAATCCCCACAGCTCATGGAACCCTCCCCCTCTCTTCATGATGGTGGAATGTCCATAGCTCATGGAGCTGGTTCTCTCTCTTCAAGATGGTGGAATTCCCCAGCTCATAAAACCCTCCTCTTCGCTCTTCAAAACGGTGGAATGCTCCAGCTCATGGAGACCATCTGTCCTCAAGACGGTGGAATCTTCACAGCTCATGGATCCCTCTTCTCTCTTCATGATGGTGGAATTTCCACAGCTCATGGAGACCATCCTCTCTCTTCAAGATAGTGGAATCCCCCAGCTCGTGGAACCCTCCGCTTCTCGTCAAAATGGCGGACTCCCCCAGCTCGTGGAGCCAGTAGGTTGCTGATGTTTTGACCTTGAGTGGCGCCGCAGCTGAGAGGTTCACAGTGGCACCCACAGAGTGGTGGAAAGTGTCCCAAAGACTCATCCCAGTAATTTCTCCGCCGTTCCTGCCCAGGTTCCTCCGGACTGCCTTCCACACCTTTTCTTTCTCTCCATGACGTTGCCTTGGCCAAGCAGCTTTTCTCTTCCAAGGACAAGCAGCTGTCACCTGCCCTTCCATGCACAAGAGACGTAGACCCCACAGGAAAGGGCGGTGGGCGGAAGGGGGGCATCATCGGTTCAGGGTGGTTATTTAGCCGCGGTTTCCTCTCATGAGCTGGGCGTGCAGTGCGACGTGATGTCCACCCTGTGTAGCTCTCACACCTCCGAGCTCCTGCTCCTCCTGCCTTCGCCCCCCCTTCTCTTGCTCCGCCATCTTCATGAAAAAAATAGCACATTTTGATAAGTGTGTCCATCTTGCTTCTCTTCCCGCATCTCGGAAGCAGCGACTGTCACAGCGTTGAGGCTCAGCGTGGCCCGCACCATGTTTCCACACGAGCTCATGACCCATCGCGCTTCCCCAGGTCCCATCACTCTCTGTGTTCTTCTTGACTTGCTTTCTTGTTTGGACATCACGCATCTTGACCCTCCATCGGGATGGGGAACGCTCTTTCCACTCTTGCATTTCGATGCTCCAAAATTCATTCGTGCTTCCCGATGGCTGCGGGATTCTAGCTGTTTCCTTCGGCCACTCAGAGGACTGATCTGTGCACCCCACCCACGCGGGTACTCGGGAAGCTCTGGGAAGGACACGCGCTGTGTAGACCAGAGAGCGCGATCATCAGTGGATCGGTCGCGGTGCGGGTGTTGAGCTCCAGCGTGGAGCCGCAGAGGCCGCTGCAGGCCTGAGAAAGGAGACTTTGCAGCTCCCGAGAGGCGGCCGGGAGAGCTCTTGGAGCCGTGACAGTCTGAAGATAAATGATTGAATCCGATGAAATCACACAAACCCTGCAGATATTTGCAAGTTATTTGATTTCGATTTGGAGCTCATAGTGATCATCGTTGCGTCTGACCCCAAAGCCAAGCATTTAATGAGCTTTTAACACATGCCAGGCTCACGCTTGAGGACTCGTGCAAGGACGTGCATGAGGAAAGACTCCAAGCTCTTAGGGACCCCCCCCAGGATGACGGAAGCACCTCCTGGGGGCTTTGGTCCCGACTGGGCTTTGGTGCCTTCTTATTCCCATGGATTGTGCGACATTATTCTCTCACCCTTGTTGCTTAGGCTGGAAAAATCCATATTTTATTCCCAATTAGATCCCTGATCTCCACCTCCGTGAACCATTTTTTCCTAGACCGAGGGGGTGCAACTCATTTCTTTCTTCTGGGTTCAGTCTGATTTTGCAAACTCACCTGCTGAAAACCCCAATTTCTACCACGACATCTCAGACATGCCAACTTTGTTCGAAGAAGGTCATTGATGGGGGACGTAAGGAGTTGATGCCTTGCCTCTATGCAAGGGCAGACACCCCAAGGGAGCATCCTGGCATTTTATCTGCACCCAATTGCTTTATCGAAGCTTCACGCTTCAAAATGGTGGATTTTTACACCATCCGATGTTGAGCACAGGTAGAAACTCGGCAGATGCGAGTGCCACAGACGACATCCGAGGGCACAGAAGACACAGAACACCCTGGCCTTTCTCGTAGAGGAGATAAAACCGAGGCCGTGTGGAATACGTACTGTGACCCCCACTTTTCCAAAACTTGAGCTCCGCCATTTTGCTTTTGCGAAAGACCTCTGTTCCTCTTTGTGCAAACTGAAGCGGGTTTCTTCGCTACGAGGACAAGAACCGTGAAGAAGGAAAACTGCTCTGTGTTGGTTTTGCGGGACCCAGAACATTTCGGGGGCCGAGGCGTTGCCCACAACTTTTCTGTGGGTCGCCTATTTATCGTACCACTGCTGCTTGGGCTCAACGGGAGGGCAACTGTGGGTTTGTTATCCTCGCCCATTCATATTCTGAAAAGTTGGAGCCTTGTCTTCACGACAACCCCGGAGGGCTTGAGTGCCCCGTGGGGGGTCATTCCCAAATCCCCAGGCAGGTGTAAATCAACTCAAAATGCCCCTCGGAGATGATCCCCCAGAGCGTGGAACCTCAGCTGTGAAATAGCTTCCAAGTCCCTCTTCCACCTCACATGTGGGTTTTACCTTGAGTTAATTTAACTCTGTCTTGAGGTGCTCCTGGATCCTCCGTGCAAGCCGCAGAGACACCCCCAGCTCGGCTTCCGCAGATGTAGACACGGAAGGGGGTAGCCACGATTCACAGCATCTCGAGTTCTGTTGCATCGGTTTATCTACAAGCGTTTCCAAACATTTCAGAACATACCTCCTACAGCTGTTTGTCATGCCAGGATCACTGCACTGCAAAATTTAATTGTTCACATTCAGATTTTTTTTTTTCAGAGAATGCTTTTGGTGAAATTCCCTCTGTATTTTATGTTTCCTTTCGAGCGGTATTTTCTGCAGATTGATGCATTTTTATTTTCTATTTTATTTTATTTTTAAAGATTTATTGATTGATGCATGCAAGACCTGGGGTGCAGGCCAGAGGTGTGGGGGCTGAGAGGATTCATCAGAGACACAGTGGGGAGCAGAACAGGTGGATCCACTGAAATCTCCCCTGAACCACCAGGGAGGCCCCTTAATTTATTTTTAAACATATTTTGTACAGTTCAATTATCTTTAAAACGTAGTTTACACAAATCAATTAATTTTTAAAACGTACTTTATACAAATGTGTTTTTTTTGGACACGGATGTGCTACAAAATATTTATTGGAAGGATGTACGTTCTACAAAATTAGCATCGAGGCGCATGTCTCGTACATGAAGTAAGTGCGTGGGTTATATAAAAATTACATTTAATTCTATATTTATATCAAGAAACATACTTTCCTCTTCTGACACCCCTTTAGTCTGTGGCATTCCCACCGAGATTTTTCATCCTTTACCGCCCACTACATCGGCTGGTTCAATTCTTCATGCTGTTCATGTCCACCGACCAGGAATATTTCCAAAACCGGCGTTTCTCGTTGTCCTAAAACTTTCGGGATCGCGAGGACTTGAACGTGCCGTAAGGACTTGAATGTGTCGAAAACACACACATACACGGATGTCTGCGTTTCTGTTTGTCCATGTCCATCATGTCCATCAGCTGTGCCTGCTGGCCTCTGAGATGATCTTTAAAACCCCACAGTGACCCGCCGCGACCCCCGTCTGTCCTCTGGGGTGGATGATTCTGGCCCTGGAAGGTCTCCTTTAGTAGCAGGTCCTTTTTGCAAACGAGCCACCTTTCCAGTGCTCTAGGCGGTGTCCATTCTTTGGAGAGTCCACCCACCCCAGGCTGCAGGGGGCGCAACCCAGCTGCCCACAGACTGAAGGCCGGGTAGGCCCCCTCCCTGGTGGTGTCAAGAGGACATGAGGTCCCGATCTGCTATCAGCATCTTCCTGCAAAGCCCCATCTGGGTCAGAGTCACGGCGAGGCCGCGTGTCCATGGAGAGGCGCGTGTCCCCCATGTCCCTCCTTCCGTCCATCGTCCTCTGTGTGTTTCCCGCTCCCTGCCCTGTGCCCGGACGCCCATCTGAGCTGCCCTTTGCCCGTCCTTGACAACCTTCACAGCTTGCAAATCTTTGGGGCAGCCTGAAATCCACAGGGTCCTTGGAACTGGCCCCTCTTGCAAATATTCGGGGGTCCCTTGGCACAACGTTCTGGAACTTTCTGGGTGCAGTGTTCCTTCGCCAGCCTTGCCCAGCACTCCCCACTTGGGGCTTCTGCAGCTTAGACAGCAGCTGAAGTCAACCCAGCCCCATCCTGGCGCCGTGCGCTGCTTGGAGACACACTGGGGTTGAGTGAGGGCTGCGCAGGGGTGTGGAGGGCCGTGGACAGGGCGCCCTGCCGTGCCCTGGCCTGCACTGACCCTTCTGCTTTCTCCCCCCAGGCTGACCACTCCTGCCCGGTGCGTTGCTGAGGAGTCCCGGGAGCAGGCGTTGGAGGGTCGCTGCTGCCTTGGCGCTCCCGTCCTCCGGAGTCGGGGTCCAGCATCACGAGGAGGGGGGCGCCCGCCTCGCCATGGGCTGCCTCGAAGACCGCTGGCCGCGTTCCCAACCGTGAGCTGCGCCTGGTGCTTGGGACCCGCCGCGCCGTCCCGGGCCTCACCCGCCCCCGTGCGCCCTGGGCGCGCGGCCCCGCCTCGCTCGGACTGGCCCATGTGGGACTGAGCCATGTCGAGGCCGCAGGGACTGTTATGGCCGCCCCTGAGCTTCACCCCGGCGTGCGCGATGCTGCGCGCCCACCTGCTGCTGTGGCTGACCGCGCTGGCCACCCACTTCTCCCTGCTGCACGGCCAGGCCCAGTACCCGGTGGTCAACACCAACTACGGCAAGATCCGGGGCCTGCGCACGCCGCTGCCCAATGAGATCCTGGGCCCGGTGGAGCAGTACCTGGGGGTCCCGTACGCCTCGCCGCCCACCGGGGAGCGGCGGTTCCAGCCCCCGAGCCCCCCTCCTCGTGGACGGGGGTGCGCAACGCCACGCAGTTCGCCGCCGTGTGTCCGCAGCACCTGGACGAGCGGTCGCTGCTGCACGACATGCTGCCCATCTGGTTCACCGCCAACCTGGACACGCTGATGACCTACGTGCAGGACCAGAACGAGGACTGCCTCTACCTGAACATCTACGTGCCCACGGAGGACGGTGAGTAGCGCAGGAGGGCGCAGCCGGCCTGCAGCTCCGGGCTGGGCCGTGGCTGCCCCATGCGCGCCATTGCGCGTTGCGCGCGGCCGCCCCTTCCTCGGTGAGCTCGCCAAGGCGGTGGCTGTGGCCCCTGGACTCTGCGCCCACTTATCCTGCCGCTAAGGGCGGCTTGTCTAAGCGCTGGGGCGCTTCCGGAGGCCAGGGGAGCCGTGCGCGCGCGCCCTGGCGCACTGGAGGCGCTTGGGGAGGGAAGCGCGCAAAGACGCACGGATCCAGCGCTCACAAGTGGGAGTTACAAGGCCGCCTCCCTAGGGCCAGGCGCCTGGAGACGCTGGCGTGTCTGCTGGCGTTTGCAGAGAGCACCCTGCGCGAAGCGCACCCGCTGCCAGCTCATGGAAGGGGTGGCTGGTGCGGCTCTGCGCTCCTGGGGATCCCTTGCGCTCCGGCCAGTGTCCCCTGTGGGCTGGGGCCAAGGATGGCGACCACAGCTATTCGGAAGAGGACGTCCCGCTTGCAGACAGAGGCCCTTTTCCAAGAAACCAAAGGGAAAGTCTGTCCAGTTGATAATGCGCAAGAGGCCGGTTGGCCCAACGCTGGTCACTGCTGTGTCCGTGTCCAGGCACATTTCAAATAAATCTCTTTCTAGAAAGAGACGCAGGCGGTCCCCATGCAAACCATCCCCTGGCTGCCCCTTCAAGGTGCTAGTTTTGGCAAGAGGATAAGCAGCCCGGCATGAAATCTTACTGGAATCCCACACTTCACCCAGCGCAGAAACCACAGTGTCCTTGGCCGTTTTATGGAAAATTTCCTTGTTTTCCTTTTCGTCCTGGCGAAGTGTTTTCCAGTAAGATTTGGCTGAAAGTCCACGCTAAACAATCCCATTATTCAGCGGCTGCCAGCGCCTGATGTCATCTGCCGTGGTCTTCTGTCTCCGCGTGCACGCTCACCACCAGCGCCGGGAGCGCGGTTTCGTGCAAAGCCAGGCCGGGCTTGGGCGCTGCGGGGATCACAAAGGACAGCCAGAGAAAGAGATTACTCATTTCTGGCGTCTGGCCCTCGTCGTTACGGCAACGGAACACACCACGGTGCTGTCACGTGGGGAGGTCCGTCCCCCCAGGGAGCTGCCTCCGGGGTAGGGAGGGGGCGCAGCCCCCAAACCAACCAGGGTTTTCATCTGGGAAGCCAGCAGGGTCGTGTCCTCCCTCTGACGAGCTCTGCCAATCACCCGTGAGGATGGCAGCTGAACAGGATGGCGGGCGACAGGCGCTCGGGATGCTGGATGCACGGTGCCCGCCCTGCAGGCGGGACCTCCCGCAGTCAGCTGGGGCCAGAGGGTGCGCCCCAGACAGAGACACTCTGGATGGCCGGGCTGGACGCCCCCCTCTGGAAGCAAAGCCACCGTCTCCCCACGAAGAAACACACCCCGTGTTTGCACAGACCTCACCCTGTGGGGTTAGCACTTCGTGTTGTTTTAGGAAAAGATAGTGACATCCCTTCAGCCAGAGGGGAGCTGAGTGTCTCACTGTCGGCCGTGGACCCGCTGGCCGACTGGAGCCCGGACCCCACATTTCCGAGTCGTCTTGCGGCCTCCACCAAATTGGCTCCGATGTCTGTTTCTAATTCCTCGTCATGTGGAGATGTACTAAAAATAGACGGGCTGAGAAGGAGGCTTTATTCCAGCTGCTTACCTTCAGGTCTGAGAATAACTTGCAGCGGGAAACGATTTAGGATGTTTCGGTAGCGGGGTTTCCGCGGCCGGCTTCTCTCTAGCCAATGATCACATCCCGTTCCCGTGGAGCGCGACCTTGGAGGTGTTTTTACGTTCATAATTTATGAACGACAGGGGTCTGGGCAGAGGTGTTCTGTGTGTATCAGTGGGCGTTGCAGGGGATGGAAGCTCGGACTTTTTTTTTATAATTTAGGGTGTTTCTTTATAACTTAATCCTGCCTCGTCCATGCCCTTTAGAGGCCTGCGTGCTCGCGAAGTAGCCATTTCTCCCTGGTGTCTACAAGGCCAGCGGATCAGGAATCTGAGCTCATATTTCCTCCTTGGAGAGCTGTTCCCCTGAGGTCAAATCTGTGCACCCAGTCCGGGGGCAGTCGGGCCCATGGCTGTCGCTGATGAGGAAGGTGTGGGTGGAAAAGGATGACTTTCCAGGGTTCGTGCAGCCCGTGGCTTGGTCGAGTCCCCCCTGGTGTCAAATGTCATATAAAAGGGTGGAGCTGGGACCCCAGGAACTGGCAGCTCCACCTTACCTGAGCCTCCACGCCCGTGGCAATAGCTGCCAAGGCGAATGGCATCAAATACCGAGATTTTCACCCTCGACTCGTATCCGAAACCCTCAGTCAATTGGCTGCTCTGGCTGGAGACCAAGTCTTTGCCGTCTGGAGCCTGCTGGGCCCCTCCGATCCTGAGGTGCTCCCCTGTTGCCCTTCTGAGCTCGAGAATCCTCGGCAGCAAACATGCTGCTCTGGACACTGGGGCTTTAGGACGGACCTTCTAGAACGGGGCATTTAGAAGGTCTCCCGCGCAGATCCAGGAGGCGGTACTGGCTCAAGTTTGTGGGAGACGTTTTGCAGATCGGAGATTTCAGTGCTGGAGGGTGGACCCCGACGTTGAGATCAAAGGGCTTGTGTCACCGGGAATCATAGCGTGACACCCTGAGAGTATCCAAACCTGTACCTTCCGCCAGCAGAAATCCGTGGGGTTCCCACGCCACCCCTCTCTCCCTGCCTCAGTTTCCTGGTCTGTGAAATGGAGATGTGCTGGGAGGCTGCAGAGAGGAGACCCCCACAGGGATAACTGCTGTGGGACCTGGGTGGAGGGGCGCATACGTGCAGCCACTTCCCCGAGCATGTCCTCCCGGGGTCTTGTGAGTTTTTGACTCCAGCATACAACAGATGTGTGCTGTGGGTAACAGGAGTCCTCGCTGCAGTCGTGGACAGGTTAGCTCAAGAGGTAGACGCAAGGGACCATCATTTCTGACAGTTCCGAGTTCGATTTCAACAAGGGGGATTCCAAGGGGATGGAGTTGACAACAGCTAAGCTATAGAAACAAGCAAAGTCCCAAAAAACAGGTGAGGGGGCCAAGAAGATGTGGTCTAGATACATAATGGAATACTACACAGCAATGAAAAAGGACAGACTCCTGCTGTTTGCAGCAACCTGGGTGGGGCTGGAGGGGGTGATGTTAAGTGTAGTTAAGTCAGAAGGAGAAAGATAAAAAGGAGATGGTGTCACTTACAGGTCTAGATACATGATGGAATACTACACAGCAATGAAAAGGACAGATTCCTGCTGTTTGCAGCAACCTGGGTGGGGCTGCAGGGGGTGATATTCAGTTTAGTTAAGTCAGGAGAAAGATAAACACGAGATGGTGTCACTTATAGGTCTAGATACACAACGGAATACTACACAGCAATGAAAAAGGACAGACTCCCGCCATTGGCAACAACCTGGGTAGGACTGGAGACGATGGTGTTAAGTGCAATAAGTCAGAAGGAGAAAGATGGTGTCACTTGTTGGTGGACTCGAGAGAAACCCAACAAAGGGTCAGAGTCACTAAGCTGATGGCGGAATGAGGCACTCGAGGGCCAGGGGAGAGGGTGAGGACAGGGTGGAGAGAGAGCACAGTGGAATACGGGGCAGGCAGAGGGTGGAAGGGGCACTGCGGAGACCCCACCGGGAGCGGGAGACCCTACAGCTGGTACGTGCTAGCAGTGCCGTCACCGCTGCTGCCCCCGTGCCAGCATCACTGAACAGCCTCGTCCTCGGCTCTGTCTCTTCCCGAACACGCCTCGGCCTCTCCCGCCGGAGCCGTCCAGTGCATGTCAGCGTCCTCTGTGGCTTCCAGAAACTGATCCTCGGGAAAACGTGAAAATTCTTTTCTGGGAAGAGCCCCGTGGACGCTTCGAGACAACAGCGCGGGGCTCTCCACGGGAGATGAAGGACGAATTAATTTCCCTTCTTTTCTGCTCAAGTCGCAGACAGGCCGCTTGTATCAGCTCCCGGGGAAACCGCCGGAACCGGAGGAGGAAGCCCGGGCAGCTGAGCGAGACAGATGTGTGCGCCCGTGCGCGCCGGCGGGCAGCTGCGTCCAGCGGGTGACAGGATCCCCTTTGGCGTTGCTTGGCGGGTTGGTGAGGTGTAGACGCTTGTAGGGAGAGGCCGTGGGAGCCGTGATGGAATCATGCCTCCCTCCGCGACGTGGACTCGTGGGAGAATAATTGAGTGTTCTGTGAGCTCGGTTAGTGCCGCCGGAGTGGACTCTGATAGACGCGGCCTGTGCATTGGACAGGTTGAAGCGGCGGAGAACAATGGGTTGGAGAGTTTAGAATAATGGATAATAATAATAATAATAATAATAATAATATATTATTATTATTATTCTAATTTTAGAATAATACTGTGATGAGCGCAGATTCCTACCTTCATTATCCATGATCTGAGTTTTTTTTTTAAGACTTATTTATGCACGCAAGAGCTGGGGTGCAGGCCAGAGCTGTGGGGGGTGAGAAGACTCCCCAGAGACAGAGTGGGGAGCAGAACAGGTGGGTCGACTGAAATCCACTGCTGAGGGGAGCAGCGGGGAGGCAGGAGAGGTCTGCTGCGCCCTGTGGGTAGCTCCCTGGCCGGGGATCGAACTCGCGCTGCAGAGGCTGTTGATAGCTTCATGGTGCTGTGTCCTGACCCCCTAAACCACCAGGGAGGCCCGGGGTGTGTGTGTTTATGTGTGTGTGTGTACTGGAGCTGCGTGTTGGAAACTTAAACCATTGGGTTGTGTGCGTGTGCGGGTGTGTGTGTTGGAGAGAATTATGTACCATTGTGGGGTGTGTGTGTGTATGTGTTGAAGCCATTTGTTGAAATATTTACCACTGGGGTGGGTGTGTGTGTTGGAGAGAAGCATTTACTTTTGGGGTGTGTGTGTTGGAGACAGACATTCACTATTGGGGTGTGTGTGTGGGAGGAAACATTCGCCCTTGGGGGTGTGTGTGTTGGA